TTAATTACCACGTTTGTGTACGCTCTGCTGAAAATTCTCATTAGAAACACTGGAAAGGTCCATGTTTTAGAACCCAAGCAGGAAACAGTTTTATAAACGCTGCTTGCTGATACTTTATTCGAGACCACTTTGCAGTTTAGCACAAAGTGGTTACTGCCACTTTAGGCTTCAGAGCAAAGTGGTTCAATCCATTTTGATTACAAATCTCATTAGAAACACTGTTTCGAAGATACGAAAGTTAAGCAAACTCTTAAATGAAGTCTGTTCTAAAGTGTGTGTCTATAAATAAAAATTTTCCATAAAAAAAAACAAGAAATTATTTTATCAAATAAGTTACATTTAAATTTAATCTTACTTAAAGCTATAGAATATGAATAGATTTTAACATTCCCACATGTTTGATTATGATCTTTTTTTATCCATGTTTCCGAAATTAAAAGGATTAATTGAATAGCTATCAGACATTATCTATCCGGCTCATAAAAAATAGGTAAAACTTTATTATGTATAGTAGAAAGTAAGTGATAGAATAAAATATAAACAGAAAACGAATCAAACGTTTGATTGTGACGAAAAAATTCGAAGATTGATATATTGACATGTGCGCCAAAAACTAGATCATCAATTATAGAGGTTACTTTCTTACTTAAATAAAAAAATATGTTTGAAAAACAAAAGTTTAATTTGATAAGAATATCATATAGAAAGAGTGATTGACGAAAGTGCACGCTGACGAAAACGAGCAGTCACAAAGTAGAAATGAGTTTCTAATAAGTTAAAATATCTCGTACTTTCCTTATGCTATTTTTTTTAAAGATCGTATGCTTCTAAAATGACAAACTATATAACAGATAAGAGATATAAATAAATACAACCATTGCTGAAGTTAAGATAATCTTCCGACAAAATCGTTCCATGAAATATCATCAACTACTCACTAAGCAGAAGAAATGGCTGATTGGCTAATCTGAAGACGATAAACCGTCGCCATTTCATAAAATTAATCCAAAAGAGTATGTGCTTTGTATGCACTATGGTACAGTGCACACCTAAGAGTGACATCTCTTTAAATGTTATTATTCTCTTTTTTATATTAGCATACATTTGATTAAGCATAGTCAAATGAATTAAGCTAAGATTTTTCTCCTAGTTCTTGTCTGTACAGACTTTTTACACAGCGACGTTCAAAATGTACTTACCTATTGGAAAATCAAATTTCTCTTGATCATTTTTTTATGATACAACAAATTTTTGTAAGCTTATTTACGTCCCAGATTCAGAGGATAAATGATAAGCTTTCGTTGAAATTTCTTTTATTGAGCGCCAGTGTTAATGTATATTGCTTGCTTTGATTGATTAGAAATTGTCATTATGGGTTACCTACTATCCTCTAAATAAATTATGTAACATCAATGCAATGTCTTCCAAATCTTATTGGCTCCTAATAAAGTCAGATAAAATTCAATTCAAACATAACGTATTTCCCTTTGTTTATTTATTTATTTATTTGAAAATGCTTGTCTGATACACATAGATATTTTCGTAATGTCACTTGTGCATTAGTAGATTCATGGAAAGCCGCTGATGAAGATGATTTATCTTTTTATTTTTAATTGATAAAATTTATGCATATCTGTAATCAGCTGATCGATTACATTTTCTGTCCGTTTGCTCTAAGATGTTCTCTAGTCAGAGCTCATTCGCTTGTAATTGACTTCATCGAATGTTCTGCAGGATTTTGGTGTTGACGAGATTTCGAATTACCGTGGTGCCAACAGTCAGTTAGCTGAATAGTTGATGACATATTTTGTTTTGAATACATCAAATTTTTTCGAAGAAGAAAGAAAGAACATCTCGCTTTATGGGCCCGGTGTAGGATGCTAGCAAGAGTCAGCCTCATTTTCACTAATTCTAAATTTTTTAATAATCATATTAGTCAAAATTTACCACTGCAGTTGCCATACGAATAAAACTATTACTATTCGTACAAATAAAATTGAAATTTGAAATCTTTCGATCGGTATTCTTGCACGACTATTCTCAAAAGTTAGTCTTTCTTGGATGTTGGTCAATTTGTAAATTTTCATTGGTTAAAACTCATTATGAAACTATTTCAGACTGGAATATAACGTGATTAGTTCTGGAAAAGTTATGTCCGCTTCAAACACACCTAAGTAAGGAGTTTTACATACGATTACAACATCCTTTTAACCAATTTTTTCTCATTTTACAGTCGTCCTCGTCAATTACAAAAATTAAGCCGTGGCTATGAGTCAAGTGAAGGTGGCTCGCCAAGCCCAGGACGTTTTCGTCCAAAACGTAATTGCTACGAACAGGAAGGGTAGATAGATGAACATTTTTTCTTCTATTCATCTTATGTAGCTTTTTGTTTTGTTTCAGCTCTTCTAGAGCACCGTGTCAAGAAAAACCATCGTATTATAATAATTCATATAAATACCGACGAAATAGAAATCCATCCAATAAAAATCACAATCATTGTTATTCGGCTTCGCCATCATATTCTGATGACAATGCGTGTGATCAGTTTTATGATGAAAATGAACGAGAGTGAGTAAAAATTTGATTCATTTTTTCCTTGAGGTGCGTTTTTTCTATTATTCTTTTAGTAATCCATCGAGGTCACCATCACGACAATATACATCAGGATATCAATCACCTCGTTTAAATCCAAAAGAATCTGTTGATCAAAATATTACGTCACCAAAAGTACGAATCAGGTATGGTAGAATTAAGCGCTTGTACACTTTAGAATAGTTTTCTCATTTTTTTCTATTTAGTTATGAAGAAGAGAAGATTCAACTAGCAAAATCGTTGTCACACAATTGGTGTGATAAAATTGATCTGGAAGAGGAAGAAACAAAAAAATTATACAGGTTAGTTGAAATACTGGTAAAACAGCAACAGTGCAATAATGCTCTTGTCTTCTGAATCTTTTAGTTTTGTGCTATATTTGAAAAATTTTAATTTGTATAAAGATAAAACAAATGAAGAAATTTTATCAGTTATTGAATGTTGTCCCAAAGAATTATGCCGACGGCAAAAAGATATCAGCAAAGGAAAATTAACAAAATCTTATGAAATATATGCTAAATCAGTCCTTAGGTAAGAATATAGTAGTTATAGTTGAATAATTTACTAATGTATTTTACTAATTACTAATTTACTAATTGTATTTTTCTAATTGTAGAAAGAATCGTGAACCAGATCATCCAAAAACACCGTGCAAATATAAAAAATGTAGTCGAAGAGCATTCGATGGTATGATTAAAATTTGGCGGCGTCGATTACATATGTTTGATAAGAATGATGGAATTATTGAAGAAACAAAGTAGGTTACCGGGACATTATGTAAAGAAAGGAATTGATTTTGACAATTTCAGATATTCTTAAACTATCTTTAAATAATTAATATATTTTATACATTAAAATTTGTTTATTTTAGGCCGAAATTAGACAATATTCAAAAAGATGATTTGTCATCGTCTGTGAGTACGGATCCACTCAGTTCACAAAGTAGTAATGATTGGTCATCACAATCGTCATCTTCTCTTAGTACAACAGATGATATATTAGTTAATGATGAAAATTTTCTTCCTGATTTATATGATTTTGAAGAATCATTGATACCTGACAATGAAACAGCACTATCATCTTCAATAAACGATGAAAAAGATGGCGATTTAGTGTTTGGTGCTGTTACTAATTTAGAGACTGATTCAATGGATACGTTGATCAATAGTGATTCACGGTCAACAATGACTATTGAATAAATCAAAAACGTAATATACATAACTTTAGTTTGCTTATGAAAGATATCAGATAACCGCTGATTGTTATTGTCAGATCTTTTTCCTTTACAATCTCGAATCGAGAAAATGTTCTTGTTAACCGATGTATATTTAGTCTACTTTTCATTCATTGTCGAATGTAAAGAAAAACGTTTTTTTTTTTGAGTCAGACTGTTTTGCTTTTTTTTTCTTCTCTTCTTAAGCTAAAAAGCTCTAATGTTTATTTTTGCTCGATATATTTGTATCTCACACTCTGTATATGTATGGATCTTCTTTTTTTCTTGTTGTTGTCAATACTGTGTTTTTTTTCGTGTATGTCTTGTAATTTAGATAGTTGTAGAAAATATGAAAACTGTTCAAATATATTTGTACTTTTTTACGTAGCAAAACAGATGAAAAAAGAACATAGCTATATGATTTTTACTATCTGTGTTTCAGTATCTGAAAACTAATTTCTTAGCCATCTTTACTTGAATGTTTAGGCAAGTCGATCGATCGATCGTATGGTGATTCAAATTGTGTTCGCTTATCACTGTACATCTATTGTACAAATAGTAAATTTGCAAAGAATTAGACAGTTCGCAACACGCTTTGTTTTAAAATATTAAAATTCTCTGACCACGTGAGAATTTGACACTAAGAATATTGTTGTTCGGTGTTTAAAGGTACCGAAATATTGAAAAAAAGTTTTCGGTAGCTAATATTTTTTGTTCATAGTGCCAAATTCATCCACTTCTATCAACCGTTTTCCATTTGTTTATTGTATTAGAATTAGTTGTTTTTAGATTTAAAACATTAGGTGATCTAAAATGATTCATAGTTTATTTATAATCAATGCTAGTGGGTAAGTGAAGTTACTTAACTTTTGATGTTCTTACAATATTAATCTTTGTTAAGCGATCTGTTTATGGAAAAACACTGGAAAAGCGTTGTCAATAAGTCGATTTGTGATTATTTTTTTGAAAGTCAATCTAAGTGTGCAAATCCTGAAGATGTTCCACCTGTCATTGCAACACCTCATCATTATTTAATTAACATTTATCGAAATAGTCTATATTTTGTTGCTGTTCTGACAACGGAAGGTGAGACTAATCGTCTTATATAGATATTATCAATTCGATATTATATTTATGATTATTAGTTCCACCATTATTTGTCATTGAATTTTTACATCGGATTATGGATGTTTTTGAAGATTATTTTGGTGAATGTACAGAAACAGCATTAAAAGACAATTATGTGATTGTTTATGAGGTATGGATCTAAAGGTTTTACTCTTTAAAAATAAGACATGACATCTTTTTAATGTTTAGTTATTAGACGAGATGCTCGATAGCGGTTACCCATTAGCGACAGAATCAAACATTCTCAAAGAACTTATCAAACCACCAAACATCTTTCGTAAAGTGGCCAATCTGGTTACTGGCGATAATACAAAGTAAGTTTATTGCTTATTTTCAGGAAAAAGAGATCGATTGTTAATAGTAACGAGAGAATGTGTTTGACACTACAGTATTAGCGCAACATTGCCGTCTAGTCAATTATCAAATGTTCCATGGCGTCGCATGGGTTTAAAATATACGAACAATGAAGCTTATTTTGACTTAATTGAAGAAATAGACGCGATTATAGATAAAAACGGGACAACAGTGATGTGTGAAATTCAAGGCTATGTAAGTTGATGTATGGTTTTAATGAATAAACACGTCTACAAGAACTAACTTTCCTTAGATAGAGGGATCTTTAAGTATAGATAGCTCAGAAAACTTTTATAACGACGTTTTCATTCTATCGAAACCATACAGCTACGATTTCTTGATATGTTTAAGTGGTAAACGTTTTTTACAGCATTGATATAACACGAGAAAATGCGAAAAAATTGTCAGCAACAATGGAAACTGGTATAACATGGAGAAAACTAGGGATCATACATCACACATCTAATGAAATGTTGTACGACATAACAGAGTCAGTTGATGCCATACTCGATCAAAGAGGATCTGTTATTACGGCTGAAGTTACCGGTGTGGTAGGAAATACGAAACAAGCTATTGCTAAATTTGTGTGATGATGTGTAATCAGTATTTAGAAGGTTCAACAAATAATTAGTGCTTTTTTTGTGATTTTTAAACGGTTAATTTGATTTCGAGCAAATATTATTAAAATTTTGATCACATTTCCTCGTGTCGCTGCTGTCTGCAAGAATATATTAGTGTAATTTTGAATAATAGCTATAGCGTGTTTTGTTCCTAGATTGATTGCTGTGTAAAATTATCTGGTATGCCTGATTTAACATTATCATTTGTTAATCCACGTTTGTTAGATGATGTTAGTTTTCATCCATGTGTCAGATTTAAAAAATGGGAGGTATGATGGTTGTTTGTATTCCATTTAATCATATAAAAATGTTTTTGCATATTTTTAGAGTGATCGTGTACTCTCGTTTATACCTCCTGATGGAAATTTTCGCTTGATTTCTTATCATATTGGAGCACAAAAGTATGTATTTTCTTCTCAACCGCGTGGTTTTAATAATGGAAATAAATATTTACAGTTATACTTTTGTTTAAGTGCAATTTCTATTCCAATCTATGTAAAACATAATATTCAATTTCGTGATGGTAGTGGTGGAAGATTTGAATTAACTGTTGGTCCTAAACAAACAATGGGAAAACCAGTAAGCAAATTTTTTTAATCTAGAAAAACAAACAATAAACAATTTATCTTTTTTTTTTCAGTTAGAATCCGTTGTGGTTGAAAGTGTAATGTCAAAAGTTGTTCTCAATTGTACGTTAACACCATCGCAAGGCAAATATACATTTGATCCAGTGAAAAAGATTCTTTTATGGGATGTAGGAAAAATTGATAGTTCAAATCCATCAAATCGTTTGCCAACATTGAAAGGAAACATTGTGTTACAAAGTGGACAACCTATGCCGGAATCAAATCCAGTATTAAATATACGTTTTACATTGAATCAAACAGCTATAAGTGGAATAAGAGTGAATCGTGTAGACATGTATGGAGAAAAATATAAACCCTTTAAAGGTGTTAAATATGTCACGAAAGCTGGCAGATTTCAAGTACGAACATAATCAATATATCATAAAAGTTTTAGTCAATTTAATTTTAAGTGCAATAAGAATGCTTTTCACTTTTTTTCTGTAACAGTAATTTTATGTGTCTATATTATGTTTAATAAATGTAACTTTTGATCCAAATTTGATCGACCAAGGACCAGAAGAATTTTTCAATTTTAAAGATGGTTTATTTAATATATCGTGATTTGAAAGTACTATTTTTCGTTTTAGATTTTATTATTATGGGAAAACGCGGTAGAAAAGCTGTAAAAACAGATTCAAACACAAAATTAGAAAAAAGTCGACAGAGTGCAAGAGAATGTCGTCATCGTAAAAAGTTACGTTATGAATATTTGGAAGAATTGGTTTCAGATCGTGAGAAAGCGATTTATTTATTACAACGTGAACTTCAACAGGTATGATACATTTTAACCAAGCTTCTTTGATTCTCACGTTGAAATTCTCTTCTTAATCATAAAGTATGATGAGTATTGATTGACCTTACGAGGGAATCGCCCTAACTGTCAAATTGCTTTTTTTTCTGGAGATCGGATTTCTGGAAAACCAGTTTTTCAGAAACTCTAAAAAGTAACCAAAACCTTTGTTAATGAGGCAGGATTGTAGCCCGCAGATTTCTGATTAAAATGAGATGCCTCCCAGCTCTAAACGATCCTCCTTTGCAAAGTTATAGAGTTTGCAAGAAAAACCTTAAATGTTTATTGTCACCTCAAAGCTACAGAAATAAGAAGAAATTAATTTAGGGGTTCTCTCGTAAATTCTACAACTTTGCAAAGAAAGGTCATGTAGAGCTCGGAGAGGTCCCATTTTAATCAAAAATCTGCGGGCTACAATCCTGCCTCATTAACAAAGGTTTTGGTTATTTTTTAGAGTTTCTGAAAAACTGGTTTTCCAGAAATTCGGTCTCCAGAGATCTATCGGTCAAAATGATTGTCATATTCGGAATCAGCATAGTCGATAACCTATAACCCACTAGGTTTCATCCAAGAAGCGATTTGACAGTTAGGGCGGTTCCCTCGTTAGTACTCTTTTATAACATTCAATCATATATACTAGTTTTTTCAAACGATAGTCAATTTTTATTTATTTCATCATTTAGGTTCGTACAATTTGTCAACAATTGGATAAAGGTGAAATGACAGATGATATTCGAAAAGAATTAAATAAATGGGAAGAAGATCCCGAATTGATTAAATAATTTCATCATAACTAATTAATTATCGGTGATTCTCTTCTATTTGTGTAAACTTCTTTCGTCTTTTTCTACTAATAATGAGACATATTTTTATGAATCGAACTTTGGAACATTTTTATGTGTACGCAATAGAAAACCCGGTCATTGTTTGCCCATATGTTTTGTTCCGGTGTGTAATTTTTTTTTTTTTTTGTAGAATACTTATTTTCGTTTGTATATATTTCATAAAAAGAAGGAAAAAAAACACGAAGAACAGTATTAATTTTTTGTTTTTTTATTTGAGAAAAAATGATGATTATGAATCGTTATGAACAGTTTTGTTATTTCCTTTTTAAATTTGTAATCGCTTTTTTTGTACAAAATAAAATCGTACTTTAGCAATTTTTCATTTTTAAAAATGAATACATATATTTTGTATCCAATGGTTCAAATGAGATGAACCAGATAGACTTTTATTGATTATTCCATACAAGTAGAGTTTTAACGTCATATCTTTTCTCTGCGTTTTGTTTTAGATTATAGTAAAAATGGTTCGGAAACTACGTTATCATGAACAGAAATTATTGAAAAAAGTTGATTTTATCAATTGGGAAGTGGATAAAAATCTTCATGAAGTTAAAGTAATGAGAAAATTTTTTATACAAAAACGAGAAGATTATACAAGGTGAGAAAAGTGTACTATTCATAGAACTTAGTTATTTTAATGTTTATATAATTATTATTTTTCAAGATACAATGAATTATCAAGACAAATACGTGATGTTGCTAATAAAATTAAAGAGTTAGATTCAAATGATCCTTTTCGTGCTGAAGCAACAAATATGTTATTAGAAAAATTGTTAGTAATAAGTTTAGTAAGAAATGAATATCTGTATGTCTAAATTTTGGTTTTAGGCATACAATGGGAGTCATTCCAACAAAACAGAATTTAGAATTAATTGATAAAGTAAATGCCAGTCGATTTTGTCGGTTAGTATGATAAAAAATCGATTTAGAATATCCACAAACTCAAAATCGTCAATTTTGCATTACAGACGTCGTCTACCAGTTGTCATGGTACGTAATCATATGGCACAACATTTAACAGCTGCTGTTAAATTTATCGAACAAGGACATGTGAGAATTGGTCCCGAAATAGTTAGTGATCCAGCATTTCTTGTCACCAGGTAAAACAGTATACGACAATTCTATAGATTTTTATAGTCTATATTATTTTTTATGTATAGAAATACTGAAGATTTTATATCTTGGACAGATAATTCAGCCATTCGAAAACAATTGTTAGAATATCAAGAAATGGTAAGAAAAATTTAACTTTCTATTATTATCTCATCTAATTTGCCTTTTCTTTTTACTTTTAGGAAACTGAAATCATCTGAAAAAGCCTTTCTTTTTGAAAAGGAAGGTCTAAAATTGGAATCAATTTTATGTGCCATACTTGTTTTTAATCTCATTAATACTAATGGTCTCGTAGTATGATACAACTACATCTATGTTATTAAACTTATTTAACTCTTTTCTAAAGTTCAAATTATATCTGTATTCTTTTTTTATGAAAAGAAAAAATGCGGTTTCAAAACAGAACACACGTAAAAATGATAATCTAATACTGAGTGATAACATTTGACTTTTTTTTTGTTTTGGCTCGTTATATGCAATACAAATAGTATAAAAGACAGATTTGTTTTTGAAGTACACAAGAATAATAAAAATAGAGGACAGTGGAGACAAATGAAAAGATGAAATAAAATAAATATCAAGAAAAATTACATTGATGACAAAAAACTGTTTAATTTTGGAAATAGTTCTGCACAAAGTGAATTGATTACTTGTACAAATATATCATTCTCATATGATAAAGTTTGGACTGGTTGTTCTATGTTAGTAGTCGATGCTGTGCTTTGTAAAGGAGCAGAAATTTTTGAATTATTACCGCTTCGTATCACTGTATCGATGTAATTTGACGGCGATACAGTGGACAATTGTTTCAAATCTAGAATATACCCGATGAATTTTGCTACTAAAAATTGAACGTTTCTTGATTAATCAAGCAAAAATTTGATTACCTTGATGTACATTATCGAAAAAAAGCAAAGAATGTGTTTGTGGATGATGCTGGTATTGTGATTGGGATTTCTGTGAGGATAGTAGTGGTTGTTGTTGTGAACGTTTTGGTTGTTGTTTTCTCTGCGAGTGAATAGTGTATGAATGAGTAGAATATGAAGAAATATTTGTCTGATGTGGATGTTTGACGTGATTTGTTGCTACAACATGACACAATATTTACTATGTGAAACAAAGAAACGATAAGTCTGACATTTAGTGCAACCGTAAACCGACGTTTGAGTGGAGACGAGGATAGTGAGAGTGAGTAAAAAAGAGAACAATTTAAAAGACCGAAAATTTGTGACATGACACTGAGTTTGACAAAATATTGTAATTGCACGAGAATATCGAGCATGTAAAACCATTTTCAACAATTTTAGCTACAGTTGAAGCAAGTGAATGCATGTTTATGGTTGTATAAGTGATTACTGAAATGTGAGTTAATCTAGCATAATAATTTAACAGCTTAACGTCATACAACAATGTGGAATTTTCTTTATCTTTATGGTACCTGTTTGAGATGTTGCGAATGGAATAAGTGAGTGATGTTGCTGATGATAATCGAAACATGATTTAGCCATTGCTGTTGTGGCCATGGTCGATATAGCATGTAGAAAACATGTTCTTTCATATCCACTTAACCATACCGAATCGTTTGATATCACTTCGTATAGACAATATAAAAATCTATAACGTACAGAATAATCTGTCCCAAAATGACTTCCAACATATTTACTTAGCACTTGTTCTTGTGTGGATGAATCACGAAAATCAATAAAAAATCGGCTACACATATAACGTTGCAAATCATATATTAATGTTGGTTCAGCTGGTTGAAAACCTCTAGCAACTAAATCACAATATTTCAATAGTCCACCACCTCTCAATTCTTCTGGTGCTTTAACTGCAATCAGACGATGATGTAAATGATTTAGGGCTACATGAAAATTTCCATAATTTGACAAGGCAACAATAGTTGGGCAAACAGATGTTGCTTGTCCAATCATTGATAATGTTGTTAAAGCTTCATGAAAGTTTTTTAAATGATGTTTTGTTTTATGACTCATACTGTTATTACTAAAAAGTTTTGTACTTTGTTTCTGATTTGAATCGATAAAATTTAATAATGGATCCAAAACAATTTGAAATGAATCGACGCTAAATTGATACTGACGTTTCATACGTTCAACAAATTTAACTTCTAAATTTCGTCCATCTGTATTTCTTAAACTAATTAGACCCCATCGATCATAATTATTCAAAATTCGAATCATTTTATCTGTATAAGCTTCGATTAGTTCTGTACATGTTCGTTTTGGCAGTGATAATTGAGTTTGTTGATAGTGATGGGTAAAGGATGCTGTAGAATGAAGATTTGGTAGACTAGAAAAAACAGCTTGTTTTATATTAGACCAACTTGCTTCCGATGAAACATCCGGAACAGATATCAAAAAATCTAAAAAGTAAATAAAATTATTTTTAAAATTATCTAAGACTAAACTTTTTATTTACCTAGATCACGAAAGGCAAGATCACCAGTGGAATCTAGTACAAATGATGCAGCACCACCACTCAGTCTAAGATCTCTGAGAAATAGACCATGCTGTCTAGCTTCCAAACGCAATTGTGTCAGAAATAATGATGGTGTTACAGTTAATGTTGGCAGAGTAGTGTGACTATTAATTAATATCGGTTGATCTAGTAATTGTAGTAGACGTTTAACTTGACAAACACTCAATATTGAACTATCTAATTCTATACCACGAAATGTTTCATTTTGATGTTCATTCGATAATGTTAACGTTGCCTGAGGTGAATGTTCTTGGTGTTGTTGTAAATCGACAATTCGTGATGTTGATAACGGACGTCGAAGATTTTTAGAAATAGATGAATGTATTTGTTCGATTGTTGAATGCTGAACTTGCTGTTGATGATGAGACTGATGCTGGCGCATCACCGTTCGACCACAGGATAATACCTGTTCTAAGTTTTTCAACAGCAATACTAGTAAAACACGTAATTTTCTATAATGTCTACAATAATAATGAAATTGAATTGAATTAGAAACATCTGGATTCGAAACTATTTTTGATTTAAATTGGAACACATTCGTAATTGTTGTTGACGAGGACGTAAATAATGTTAGTCCAGATATGAATAATAAAGGAAAATTTGTTTGAATTTCAATTAATGACGACACGATGGTAGTCCGAATAATGATAGTTCAACAACGATAGTAAAAAAAGATTGAATTTCATTATTTTAAGTTTTCGTTAATTTTTTTCTAACTTCTACCAATTTTAATCATAGAGGATTGCATGGCGGGACGAACAATAACACTAATTCTTTCCTCTAATAGATATCATTTGGACAAAAATATTTGTTGTACACTCTCCAGTTTATAATTTCTTCCAATTTTGATATAGGCGCCAATGTGTAGAACTAAATAGCTTTTTCATTCAGGAAAGGATATTATTTTAAAAGATATATTATTTTATTATTTTTTATTATTTCACAGAGTGTGTAGATTATACAGACACGAACAGATGTATCAAAACAAACATCATAGTTACCAATGTATTCTCTAACACAATTTATAATTTGATGGCTAAGAAACGATTGTAAAAGTTTACAATTTCTATATTACTATTAATTATTTACAAGATAGTTTTCTTAAGATCTATTGAGACCATCGGATAGTACTAAAACTCGCGTAATATAATATCAGGTTCAAAAAGTTAGATATTACAAATAAATGCTTCTATCACGAATCAAACAAAGCCTGACTAGATAAGTCTAAGAGAAATCTTCTTGATACTGGAGAGAGAAAAAAGCCTTACTCTTGTTCAACGATCGGACTTTAATAGTAGCAATGTAACAGCTCACAGTGACAATATCGGTGAAAATATATTGTTATAAATCCGTTTTTAAGAGAGAAAATCGTTTTACTAGTATAATGTATAAAAGCGAACACGAGATAGCGATACTATAAGCCATTCAAACTTATTTTTACAGAAAACATAAAAATAAAAATATTTTCTGTCACATCTGGAAATAATTTTGATGTTCTAGCGCAGGTTACCAAGCGTTAAGACATTTTTCTCAGAAAATTAAATTTGAACGAGTAAAATTATCAAGTATAACGCGTGATAACATTTCTTCTAAGTGATAGCGGACTAGATCCTGCTAAATATGGTTCTAAGAACTTTAACAAGTTTCCACACATTCAAGTTTAATGAGTTCATGCATATTCATATTATGTTCACAGATACAAACGAATGTTAGTTGAAATAGTTGATTTTAACTGGTTTGAACGAATGCGAGTACCGAACGCGTTCTAACCCCTCTAAATATTAATGCGTTCGTACCCGTTATAATTAAAGTTATAAAATACTGCACTTATACTAAAATCTAACGACTTCAAACGCGTTCATTATGGATTCTATTAATCCATTTCAACACGTTAAACGATCAGATTTAACGAGTTAGAACGCGTGAATTTTCCAAAAATAGATGATATGCGGTGTAAAGATGTTTAAGAATAGAGAATACATGTACATTTCTAAATAAAAATTTATTGAAACTCGTTTAAACGGATCAGAAAAGCTTTTAACTGATTAAAATGACTTATTAAAATTAAGCGATAATTTATCATTATGCCTAACCGTTCCAAACCATGGTTTAATTACCGTTTTGTTTTGTGTGACGAGCTGCTATATAAATAACCAACTGCTATTTCTATATTTACACACATTCATTTAGAAATTTCTGTAAGTTTTCTTCTTACTATATATAAATGTAAGAGACTAGTCTACCATAATGGTGCTGATGAACAGTGCCTAGCAGACAATAGTTGGGTGAATTTTGGGATCTATCAACAGAACAAAAGTTTAGCTGAAAAGGGAAAGGAATAGAAACACAGTTCAACACGTTAGAGTTACATTTCGATCCAAATTGTTATTCTAACGAGTGTAAACGCATTCAGAAGGCTCAATCAATTCTTAACGAGTTCGAATGTAGTTTTCATATTTTTTATAAAAGCGCGTTCAAACGCATTATAATTAATGTACAGTTTCATATAAGTTTGAAAAACAACTCATTCAGCAGCATTTAGCTAGTGCTCATGCGTTAAATTTTTCTTTTGTTTAACGTCTGATAACGCGTGTTAGAGTATCCAAGTTATTTCATGAGTAGATATATTTTTTATCGATGAATAGATCTCTACGTTGATTATTACTAGTTCAACCGTGAACATCAAATAAGAATAATTAAGATTTCTTTCGATATGGTGCACATCACTTCACTATTATCTTGTAGCTAACTTTTAGATTATAAAATGCGCTTGAAAATACTTTATAATATGGCGAAGTGACGATTGCAGTAATTTTGCATGAATTATAGTATTTTTGCAGACAAATGAAATACATAGAAAGAGAAAAGCAGAATTTTGTGACTGTAACTTAAATTTATGTTTGCTTTTCATTGAAATTAATATTATTATTTATATATATATAATAAATAAAAAGTTGAGTTATATATGATCTTTCACTGCTTACTTATCTTTGATAATGAAGTTTGCCTTTGAGCCTTTCAAAGATAAATTCACAAAAGGTTTTACTTCTAATTGTAGTATCGAAAATACATGATCCCGCAAAGGTTTTTTTTCTGAATTGTAAATTTAACTTTAATAACCACTTCTCTCTCGAATGATGTGATCCATATCATATTCTCATTGTAGTTCCTTTTTCTTAAGTGCCAGATGATTAATGTGTATTATTATTTGATTAAGAGTTTCCTACCGTTTGAGTAATTTTTTAAACGAAATACGCGATCTTAATGGAACTTACAGAAAATGTAGATAATGGTATAAAAGAGCTATAATAAAATTTTCCTGATGATATGTTGCATAGTTTAACAGATAGGTTTCACAAGAGTCCAGATAGTGCTATCAACACAATACCAAATTTTTGAAAATGATTTGGTACACTTTATTAAACATTTTTTTATTTGAAAGTGAAGACATTTTCTATATAAAATGTCTAAAGCCAATTTTTGAAGTTCGACTTCATTTCTTTTTGGCACGTCTACGAGTTTGAAGTTTGCGAAAAGAGTTGAAATGAGAAGAACTTATGGTCTGTTTTTGAGAAAAGGAAAGCAAAATTTAAAAGAATGTTTCAGTCAGTTTTTGAAGAATTGGTTAGCCTCTAAACAATAACAAGAGATTTATTAGACTACGCTGAATTGGTTCGGAGAAAAATGTACTTACTGAACGACAGTAGTGACAAAACTGATAACGAGAACATACAGTGTGTACACATTGATGCATCTAAAGACTTGTTGGAAAATGCTTAAAACTTTCTAATGTGGACTGTTACACAGTTATGCCATGTCTTATTTTAAAGACAAGAGTTTATTCTGCAAATTGACATATTCAAAAAAAGAATCAATGGAGCATAGAGCGATAGAGCGAGAGTAATAAGTAGTCTATGACAACCGTATTTCTTTGAATTTTTAGAAAACCTACAAAAATAATCACTTAGATTATAGAACAATACAGATTCTGAAAATACATATTTTCGACTACACAATGGTGAATAGTAGTAGATTGAAAAATCAAGTTTCGGTGAAAATAATTGTTTTTTAGTTGAAATATCCCTTGATTTCTACGATACGTCTTTGATATTGCAAAAACCGTTCTCTAATCTTCCATTCGTATTCCTTTTAACTATAAAAAGTTTTCGTTCCAGTCCACAGGATAAACGCGTAATCTAAAAATACTTGTCTATACTACAGATTATGCAAAAATAAAGTACGTTTAAAAATATTTTGAAAACGAACAAGACTTCACTTTTTTTTTAATAAACTTGTATAGAGCGAATATAGCGGTGAATTGATAGCACGCTGACTCATTGATAGCAAATTGGAAACAACAAACGTATGTGATTGCTGTCAAAAACTTGACAGTGTTATCTCTGATGCCGGATTTTATAGGCTGATATTATCACTAGAAAATAGATTTATAATATTTCTTCATTCTCACTCTGAAAAAATTTTTCTCTCAAACTTTGAAGCATTTCGTGCGCTCTCTATGATTATTAAATGTATAATCGTTTTATTGCACTCTTTTCACTTTTTTCATTATAGTACACTCCATGCAATCGATGTCAAACTTAACATAGCTAATAATGATTACACAAACATACTTCAGATAGAAAATGAAGTTCCTCTTATTCGAGTATATAGTGATAAGAGAAAAATCTGTTCATTTATTGAATTTCTGACGGATTAAGAGAGAATAAACTATAATAAAATTTTTACAAGGTATAAATCTGACAATAGAACATGTTAGTACTATTAAAATGTATATATTGGTAAAAATTTTGGTTAATGTTATTGAAAGGTCATTCATCGAAGTTTGAAAGATCTTCTTGTTGTTGTTATTTTGGAGAAAACTATCTAAAAAACATTGATTGATTATTTAAAGTAGATTTGTTTGACAGTTAGACCATTTTTTATTAACCACTAAAGAATAAAACTTTTGTCACAACAATAATAGGACAATGACTAATTACATGAAACTGTGAGTGGAACAAATGATAGTTGTGTGTATCTGTGTGTATATGTATCTAAATAACTACCTGGCAAAGGAAGACAAATATTGACATTATGTATATAGATGAAGCTTTTTTTGTTGTTCAAGCACGGTCTATACCATTGAAAAAATGTATAGTGGTGGTATCAATATCTGAAAGAGAGAAGGTTAAAAATATGTCAATAGATCATGTTTCTATAAGAAAAAAAAAAATTTTTTTTGCAGGTTTTTTTTACAGTTAAAAAGGCGTATAATAGAGTAGAAAAAAAATTTGATGTTTTGCTGAAAATGTTTTTAGGATTTTCTTAGTACAATGTATCACACATTCTAATTCTGAGAATAACACGAATGAAAATTATATC